AAAAAACAATCATATCCAATCAGAAAATTGGCTTAAAGCCCTTAATAAATACTAAAAATTCGAAACCAACACCTCCAAAATTCCACTAGACTTAAAAGCAAGCAAATACTGATACCGTAGCCATTTAAGGCTTTAAGAAAATATTTTTCTGGTGATGAAATTCAGAAATCACAACTTACCATGGTTGGGAGGAACAACAAAGCTCAGTTCCCACATCGACGCCGACTCACGCTCCATAGAAAGCTAAGAATGATTCAAAACAACGAAATGAAATCAATCAGAAATTAGAACATGGCAATGGAATTAATCAAGCGAAAGTGAGTGAACGAATGAATTGTGATTGCAAAAATTTACAGCTTTGGAAGAATCCCAAGAGCCAACGAGAGGGACGGAGCCGAAGACGTGAGGAAAGAGGTCGCCTTTCTTGAGCTTGAAATTGTTCTCCATCTTCAACGACACGTACAGCTGGCCGCCTCCTTGGTCCAAATACTCCTCCTCCTCCGGCTCCTCACCTCCATGCGAGCCATCCTCCGTCCTCTTGGACGCACCAGTCCCCATTCCCTCTCTCTCTGTCTCTCTGAGCCTGTGTGTGTTAAAAAACGGCGTGTGTTCAGTTAGTTTTTGTGGTGTGTGGTTTGGGGATTGGATAGAATGAGGAAGGAGAGTGAGAGATGGAGAATGAATGAATCAGAGTGATGAGGGATTTTGGAAATTTGGATTGGATTCCATGTATATATATACGTAAATGGGTTTGTCTGTTCGTTGTGGCTGTTCCCGGCCTGTGTTTGGATAGTTTTAACTTTTAGACGATGGGGCCAGCCATACGGTTATCAGCTCACCCTTTTTATATCTGCAACTCCTGGCGGATTTTACTCGCTGGCTTTTTCTAGTATTATGCAACTCGCTTTTTCTAGTATTATGCAACTCGCTTTTTGTGCTCGACGCGTGTTTTGGGATGTGACCTGTACATGCTCTTGGGGTTATTTCCAAGCTCTAGCTTCGGAATTTACAAGTATTTCACCCAACGGTGCGTTTGGATGAGGGAAATAAACTTAGGATTTTGACAAAACTTAAAATTTCTAAATTGACACAAATCAATTCCCGTGTTTGGAAAAAATAACATAGAAATTTAGAAATTCCGCATGGGAAAAAACATGGAATTTGGAGATCATAAATCCCAACTTTAAATTCTATTTAAAAATCATCATTTCTAAAATCTCAAGAGAGATTGAGTTTTTTTTTTAAAAATAACTTTACAAATAAAAGTTAAATTCCGTGTTTTAAATCCATCACCAAAACAAGAAACTTTACAAATTCTAGAACTTTAATTTCCGTCATTTAAGAAATTCTTTGTACTTTTAAATTTCCTCATCTAAACGCCCGTGATATTTATTTATGGACAATATTTCCCTCCTTATAATTTCTTCATTTTTACTATATATAATCAGCTCATATATTTGGAAATGCTTATGTAAAAAGCATTTTTTACTTATAAGTTCTCCTATAAGAAATGTTTTATAAGTACATTGAAATATGAGTTTTTAGGTGCAATAGTCCCTAAATTTATACTCAATTTACATTTTGATATTTGAATTTGCAAAATGATTGTTGTAGTCTTTCAATTCTATTTCATTAGCAGTTGGTCATGTCGTCAAATCAATTACATTTTTGTTGTTGTTAAATTCAGGGGTAAATTTGTCATTTCAAGTTCAACCCCCCATCACTCACACCAGCTTTACCACTCCCACCACTATTTTGTACCAAAACCCACTATTCCCACCACCATCAATGAAGAACAATCTCACGAGAGAGATAGAGAAATTATTTCCCAACCAATAGCATAGAGACAAAGAGAAGGGCAGGTGAGGGAGGTGCGTTGGGAAGCAAAAAAAAAAACTTACTTGTAACGGGGATATCATTGTTTTGTTATCATCGACCAATAACACAATGACACATTGAAAAGTTATCCTATATGTCATTAAATTATTGGTGGGGAATAGTAAAAAGTGTTATCATCGTTGCATGAGAGTTTCTCTCGTTAAAGAGAGGGAGTGGAAAAGAGTGGGTGGGGTTGGTGAATGTTTGGGGTGGTGGGGGTGGAGGAATGGGTGTTTTTGTCTGTGTAGTGGGTTAGGGGTGATTGGGTGGGGATATCAATTTAGGGTGGGTTTGGGGTGGCTTCAATGATGGGCATTTGGATCAAATTTGTTCCTTGAGATGGGTGGCTAGGTATATGTCGGAGAACGGGGGTGGTTGGCGGTTGTGGCTAGGTGGGAGTTTGGGCTGCTAGTGTTTTGCTCATTAGAAAGAACATCAAAATATTATTTTGCCTCTAAATTTGACAAAAAAAGGAAAGTAATATCATGAACAATGATAATAACATGAGTGGAGTTGAAGGACTACAATAACCATTTTGTGAATTCAAGAAACAAAATGCGAATCGAGTACAAGTTCATGAACTATTGCTCCTGAAAAACCGTTGAAATAATTGAAATTACATGTAGGATGACCAAAATGCCTAAAGGGGGTGAATATGACAATTTAAAATTATAATTAATAAATATAAATAAACTTCGGTAGCAGGAAACGTGCTGAGCATAAAATAAAGAAACACGCAGAGAATTATTTTACGTAGTAAAACCTCAACTTTGGGGAAAATCTACAGGATTCCTCAGTCCAAAACAAATACACTAAATAACAATGATTACAAGAAGTACTCACACACTTATCCTAGATACATTCTAGATAATGTTTACCGACTTCTTCGTAACTCAACTTCTATCACGGGATTATCTCTCGACACTCCTTATGTTGAATGCAATACTAGTCACGATTGATTCAAGCTCGCTGGAGTTCTTCCAACTCTCCTTATGTTGAATCTAATATTGATCATGATCGATTCAAGCTCACCAGAGAAAAATCGTCACAATGGTCTTGGTGCCCACAACCACATGAGTCACCGAACATGCAAATGAATGCAATATGAATGATAATAAAAGTGTTTGATAAATCATCAAGTAGACAGGGAACACTTTATGATTTATCTCAAATAAAAACGCAACTTTCTTAAACGTTTAAGCACACAAAATTATTGTTCAAAAGTTGTACCAAGAATAAAAACATCAAGCCTTATTAATTTTATATAACTTTTTCTTATCTAGGAAGAAAATTCCACGTCCAAAACACATTCATTGAAGGCTAACCAAAGATATGTTTCCTAGTCAAAATCAAAATCACCAAATAGGCATGAGCAAAGGCAAGAAGGTTTTGTAACAATATTACTCTTTAAAGACCCTTGATATTATTGAAGCAAGTTTCAAGAATATCACAATTAATTTTTAATAGAGTATATGATAGTTAACTTGATTTGCAAGCACTCAAGACTTGACGCAAAAGAAGAGGCTTGATAGGACGTAATCAATTAACATGAAAAATGAAAAATGACATATCTTACCATTCAGATCAAATGGCTCATACATGTTAAGTCACAATTCTGGAATTCGGGAATTGCTGGGCTATTTCAATTTTGCAGTTTCTGGAAATTAGAGGCAACAATTTTGCTTCAACCTTCTAGCTAAATGACACTTCCAAACCTATATTAAGTTCTAGAAAATACCAACACAATTTCATACTAACAATAATTATTAATAATCCAAAATCTCTTGTCTGAATTTACTTCACACATGATAAGACACACCCTTCGTTAGACATTAAAAAAAGGAATAATAATGTAGAACCAATGTAAATTGATACAAAAAATGGCCAAGTTATTGAGAATATGTCAGATTTGGAGTATATTTAGCATTTTCCATTTATTATTTACTAAGCCCAATAAGTATAAACGGATCGGGTTTGAACTTTTACTTGGACCGAGCCCACGTCCTTAGGATTACATCTAGCGGGCCCAAAACAGAGCTAGGGTTTTTGCTTATAAACGCTGCCAACCCCTCACTGCCTCTCTCACATAGCGCACCTCCCATTTTTCATCTTCATCGGACGACTTCGAAGGAGAGCAAAGGTTTCAGTCTCGCTTCGTCGCCATGAGAGCCAAGGTACAAACTAAAATCAAAACCGTAATAGAAACTTCAAATTGTATACGTCCATACATCTTGCTTTTTTTTTTGTGTGTTTTTTTTTTTTTTTTTTTTTTTTTTTTTTTTTTTATAAGCACCTAAGAATGTCATAGCTTCCGATCCTTGAAAAAAGAAATTGATATAAATGGTAAAATGTGCTGCAGTGGAAGAAGAAGCGCATGAGGAGGTTGAAGAGGAAGCGCCGAAAGATGAGGCAGAGATCTAAGTGATAGCTTCAGCTGTGCAGCTCTTTCGCATGGCGTTTCTATCTTTAGGCTTTTGAGTTTTGTCAGACTTAGTGGTTTGTTAGAATTAATATGAGAAACCCTTGGTGTTCTTATTTCTATCTTTCTGCTACATTTCCTAATCTTTAAATGAAATTTGACCCTGTTTTTTTATTATTTTTATTATTTGGTTTATTTTGATGAAGTTATGAATTTACATGTTGCTAATTGGAATGTGGTTTCTGAAATTATGTTTTTGGGCATGTTTATGTTGGTTTCATACAGATTGAATATCTGTGTTGTGGTTTGGTTGTCATTGGAATGCTCTTTTCCAATTTACTTTTCTACTCAATTTGTCATCAAATTTGAGGAAGTAAGGAAGGAATTGGGGATTAGCTTCACTGGCCTCATTTGATCAAAGAAATTTTGGTCTACCTTTGAAAATTTTCTAGTAAAATGTGGCCCATGACAATCCAATGGTAGTTGCCCCCAAAATCTCATGATCTATGATGATCATTTTTATTTTTTATACAAGCGATATTGGGTGAGGAGCGGGGGAATTTATATTCTGATAATTTGGCAGTCTGACCAAGTTAATAATTTTCGAACACATTTTATGCCATTAGCCATTTTACAAAACACAGTTTGTGCTACTACTAGTCTGCTTATATCCCACTGATCAATTTAGGATTGAAGTATATTGCTAAAGCGTGCCATTTCTGCTACTATTCGTGCCTATCTTCTTCAGTTCCTCAAATGTAAGTACGGTCTCTGAATCGAAACCACCTGCAAACTGAATGTAATGTTGCATGTGTCAGTACTCGGTATAGCAATTAGGGTTACAAATTAGAATCATGAGTTTGAGGAGCAATTAGGGTTACCTGGTGTACCCGGAAAGCGAACCGAACTCCTTGAAGCAAAAGATTATCTTCTCTTGAGCAATCACTAGAGTGAACTTCCTTGATAATCCTTTTCATGTACTCTTTGGCTAGCCTTAGTGAACTTAATTTCATCTGCGAGTATTTTGGCCAAAGAAATTCAGTTATTACTGGTGGTGAAATAAAGAGGTTGATTTCAAATGAATGTTATTTGCATCCCTTGCTTGAAAATTTGGAAATCTGTGATCACTAAAAGCTGATCCTCATGGATTTGCTTTTGTAAAGTTTTGTAGAATAGTGAGAAGGGCTGTCAATTAGTGTTCTAATTTTCTTGTTTCCACATCATTGTAATTAGTTGAAATTAATCCCTTAAGCTCAAATTTACCCGAATTTAGTAACATTTAAATTGAAGTCAAATGTAAAAAAAGATACCTCACTCAACAATAATTACCACATATAAAGTTGTAGGCAAGGCATAATTATCAGAGGGACCTTAAAGCTATAAAGGTAGAGAAAAAAATAATTCAATTTGCTAATTGCTCCACCTACCTGGCCCATCAGCCCTGAGTCTAGCATCCATTCCCATGGGATCTGGAAATCTCTGTATTTCTTGCTGGCACTCTCCCTTGTCCTCTCTGCACTGCTAACACTTCTTTCCAACCTGCAAATTGAAATTGTGACCTTCAAAATTTAATTCACTATATTGCATGAAATTAAATGAAATAGTAACAGGTTTTTGTACTCCAATGCTTGCCTGTCTTGTAATGCTTCCATTCTTCTTAGAGCAAGGATCATTGGCTCTTTCATGTTGTCTTCAAATGATGCGACTTCAGATTTCAGATTTCTGAGGTCTCTGTAGTTGCAAGCAGCTTCCCGCAGTGTGTCCGCTTTTCGTTCCGGCCACTGCGGGAAATGTTTAAGCACTGCCCTCTCATCAACCAAGGAAGACAGCTGCCGGTCCAGCCAGTTTACAAATGCTTCTACATCAGCAATGTTTGTAAATTTTGCAGACTCGACCTCACTGATCAGGAAATTGATGAATTCTGATTGTGTTTCGACCTCTGACTTTATCTGTCCATAAATCATGCACATTACAACTTTTGAGAAAATTGGTGTTTGTTATGAGATTTGAAGAATAGCGTCTGCTACATTATACTTACAGCTGAAAGATAAGATGAACGGTTTTCGATTTCTCCGATCATGTTCTTGGTAAGAGCAAAAACATGAACTCCTGCAGGGTTGGCTTTGTTCTCCATGTGTGGATCTTTCCTTGTGAGTGAACGGTACAGCTCAATTACTTCTGGCACACGGCGGACTCCTTTGGATCCGAAGAGTGATTTTGAGGGCGGAGGCGGAGGTGGTGGTGCTGGTGCTGGTGCTGGTGCTGATAGCCCTTTATTCTCTTTCACCTCCTTGGGTGAAATTGGAGGAGGCCTTGGTGGTGGTGGTGCGTTGGTTGGTAATCTTGCTGGCCTTTCCTTTGTGGCTTGAGATTCTGTGTTGTCTGGTCTTGGACACATTTTCTCTTTGGCAGGACTTTGCTCTGATATATCTACAAAAGCTGATTGTTTCTGTTGAGATGCGTCAGTATAGTTGTTCTCCACAGAGTTCTGAAACTTCTTCCAGAGAACAGATTTTCTCTCACTGTTGTGTGCTTTGAGGGAAGTTATTTGAGCTTTGAGACGGGCAACTTCTTGTCTGAGCTCATGATTTTCTTTCTCCAATGAACCCTTCTTTTCGAGAGAGTCTTCGAGTTCTTTCTTGAGGAAGGTGATGATCTCTGCGTTTTCATCTTCTTCTGGCATCCTTGTTAGTTGTTCGCTCTGCTTTCACTATAAGGATGACAGAAGAGGAGATGGCTAGATATGACAATGAGTAGCTGGGTCGTTCCTCTTTTATGTTATGGTCTTACTTTTGATTGTAAGGTTTGGTGTGTGCACGTAAGCCTGACGAGTGGTTTGCTCTAGTTAATGTCCCTATGTATGTTGGTAATGTTTGTTTAGGTAATTATTTTTTATTTTTTTTTTTATTTTTTTAAAAGGTAATTAAGAATTCAAGAGTAGACCCTTATGACATTTCCAAATTTGAGCCGTGCTAGCATCGGTCTCTCCCGTTGATGCATGTGGGTCCCATAAAACATCAATAGCCTACAGTTGGCCAGGGACTAGGGCAGCTCGTGCTTGTATAGTTCTTACGAGTTCTCATCCTATACAAAGATTTATTATACTGTCATAGGGCAATGTAGCGTTGCAGGTGAGGGATCAGCATAATTGTTGCAAGTACTTGTTTTAGGTGCAACATTATATTCTTCCGTCAAATTTACCACAAACCCCAAGTCTTTTTCTTTAGTTTTTAATATATCTTGCAATCATGTTAAAATAGCAATAGCAAAGGTAGTGTTGCTAGACAATCATTAAATAGAAAAGTTTTAAGCTATTAGAAAATAAGCTAACAATGTATATTAAGTTTACACAAAAAATCAATATGAGAAGCGAGACAAACATATAAGCGCATCCCCACCCTACACGTTACAAATCAGCAAAGAAGTGAGAAACATGATTCAAACTCAAGACCCCTTGTAAAGTAGACTCGAATAATGTATTAGACGACTACTGGTTTCAAAAGCTTAAGTTGTGGGAGTGAGCCAACAATTTACATCAACCTTACACATTTGTTGTCAGTATATGTCATTTCTTTCATATTTTACACGTACTCTTGTGGAGCTTGTTCCAAACAGTAAATGGTATATGATTGATTGCTAATTAACAACTCCTAAAGTAATGCCTATGCTTACGTGGCAAATCGCTGTTGTCCAGGTGTCATTCTTTGACTGGGATGTTGAAATCATTAGGTAAATCTTAGTATAAGGTCGGTGACCCTCTTGGTTGATAGTGATATTGGCAATAAATTTAGTCCTTCATGAGATTATGACAAAATGGAATTAGCATTTTCTATTCTTTGCTTGTGAAGCAAAGCCAAAAGCAGGGAAAAGTGAGGGGGAAATGGGCAGAAGTGAAGGATGCTGACAGAGAAAAAATTAAAGAAAAAGTAAAAGCCTTGATATTTACAGCCCACCAGATCGAGATCTTCCCATTTCTGCTTTATTTTTTCCTGTGCTTCCAGGAAAAAGTTACAAAAACATGAAGAAGGGTGTTATGGTGAAGAACAGTAAAGCACTAAGGTAGCTCAAATGCTCACCTAGACCTGAGGTGTATTTACTAGGGCATCATCATCTTTAAATCTTTTTAAAGGGTTTTTATTCTTCTCACTGATTTGGCACAAGTCCACTCCAAATTCAGCTTTAGTTTTCTAGGGGACCCTTGATCAAAATACCCTACAAGCAAGGGAACCTTAGGGGGGTCAAAGATAAACAGCTTGATCAAGACTCAAAACCAGAATAAGTGTAGCAGCATGGGGGAACATGAATGTGCAGGACCCCATATATTGATTTGGGTTTGTGGCAAGCACAGAAAAATGCTTAACCAGAAGATTTTTTTTTAATAAAACAAGTACATAAAAAGATTGAGAAACTGGGAAGTAGGTAGGTAGACAATTTATTTGCAAGACAGGCATGACCCTACATAAAGGGAAACAGAAAAATCAGATGTGATCATCTGCGTACAAGGTCCCCTTATTGAAAGGCTCTTACAAGTTCCCTTAATTCTGTCTTTCCAGAGGCATCTCCGTCTTTGCTGTAGGGATGTTAAAATCATACAGGCTGTTAACATGATGTGGCTTGGATTAGCAGTTTGGGATGTTAATTGGATTGACCAAACTCTAGTCTTGGTGGGTTAGATAGATGTCACATAATTGCCCATTTGGTTTCTTCAGTCAAGCTAGTCAATGTAGCAAAACCTAAATAGTAGTAGCAGCATAATGTAAGTGAGCAGAAACATTTGGGAGTCACTCACACAAGCATGAACGAGTGTTCTAGGTAAATTATTTAAGTACAAAACAAGTTTTAGATCATCGAAAAATATATGTCGTCAAATTAAGCGAGTGTGATTAACATTCCTACAAACTCTTTCATCTTGTGAAATCATGAAATGATTTTCATATTCAAAATCATTCCCACACCTTCAAATTCAACCACTATATCCATAAGCATTAGCAATAGTCATCCACTTCACTACCAAAGTCACACCCACTAAAGAGTTCAGAGCATAGGAATGATTCGAATGAAGCAGAAAATAACTCATACATAGTCAAAATTAAAAAATTGGGTTCTCTCACAAGTAGAAACAGAAACAGAGGAAATAGTAAAACTACTAAGACATAATTTCGCTCTTATTCTAATTTTTGTTTTAAATCATCCCCAAGGATGGTTTTTATTGAGGATTTGGTAGACGGCTATTGGCAGAAGAGACCCTGGACCCCCATTCAAGCAGCTCTTTGCTTGTGTCATCCTTGTGAACAATCACTTCTATGAAGCACAGGCAGTCTTTCTTCTCCCCTGTTGCTGTTGCAATGGCTTCTGTTAGCTCCTCTTCAGTACGAACCTGAGACAAAAATAAACAGAAATGTAATCATGATTTAACATCTCCAATTCAGTATTAGTCTAATAAAGCTATGACAACGTTATTCACACTTCCAATTTGTCATCATGCACTCTATTCCCGAGTGTGTTAAAAACAATTCAATATTGTTTTTAGAGTGTAAAATGACAATAGGAATAGCAGCTGCCTAAAGCATATGCGCCTATTCTATAGAATATTTTTGTATCACCAACCTTGGTTGTCCAGCAGTTTCCTTCACCATTGTGGATTGCATCCACCAAACCCGTGTAGTTCCAGTTTTTTATCACGTTGTAAGGCCCATCATGGATTTCAACTTCTATGGTGTATCCACCATTGTTGATAAGGAAAATGATGCTCTTTTGTTCACATCGAATCATGGTTGACACATCTTGTGCAGTCACCTGTCACCCAAAATGTCATATATACAAGCTTTTAGATCAATTCAACAACATTTCTATGAAATCTAAAGTTTGATTAACAATGGTTGAAACGTTCTAACCTGGAAGCTCCCATCACCAATGCAAGCAATGACACGCTTGCTTGGAACCGATTGTGCATACCCAAGAGTTGCACCAACAGACCAACCAATGGAACCATATTGCATCTGGAATTCATACCTGCAACACCAACTTTTTCTCTCTAATGATATTGTCACAATAAAAAGCCTCAAAATGAAATTGATAGGTTCTTTGTTGCATGCTCACCCACATCCTTCTGGCAATTTTAGTTTCTGGCAGTTAAACCAAGAATCTCCAGTCTCAGCAATAACAGCAGTATCAGCTGAAAGAAGCTTCTGAATGTGCTGGAACATAATGTTGACTCTCAAAGGCTCATTAGGTTGGCATTTGACAGGCTGGCCCTCTGGGACGAAGATTCTGTGGTAGTTTTCATAAGCAGTTGTGTTTTTGTTGACCCTTTTTGCAAGTGCTTGTAAAAAGTCCTTCATTAGAACACAGCCAAAAGAAGGGCCATTGCCGATGACCACACGATCGGGCTGCACAATGATTGCCTTCTCCTTTTTGAGAAGGAGAGAGTACCCTACAGAGCTGTAGTCATTGAAGATTGGACCAGCAAACAAGTATGCATCAGCAGACTCCACAATCTCACCACAGTAGGCAGTGCCCACAGCTCCCCAGTATGTCCCTATGTAGTGAGGGTGGGTTTCTGGGAAATGCCCTTTGGCTGATGGCATCACAGAAACTGCATAGCCACTGGCATCTGCAAACTCAACAAAGGCTTCATGGGCCTTTGCCACTCGGAGTTTCGGTCCGCCCACCATCACTGGCTTCACCGCCTTGTTTAAGAAGGCTGCCGCCGCCTCCACAGCAACTTCTAGCCCCATCTTATTAGTCATTCTGTATCAAGAAATCATCGAATTAACATAAACAAACATCTCAAACTCAAGAAGCCCTGCTGAGGAAATATTATGTTGGCAGACTGTCAACCAGCCATCTCATAGAAGAAACCATCAAGGATTAACAAAGTAGTTACCTAGGTGAGATAGCAAATTTGATGGGCTCTCTGCTAAAAGTTGGATGTGGAATGCCAGGCATGTTGCAACTAATGCTAATATAGACTGGCTTGCTTTCTTTGAGAGCAGTAGAAATGGCTGTATCAATTTGTTCATGTGCATCTTCCAAGTTATTCACCACAGCCTGACATAGCAAATCACAAAAACCAGATCAATCACTTGGCCGTATATATTGGCCAAAAATGAAAATATCAGCGATACATATATTATCGGGCCTTCAATTTACGGATATTTCAGGGATATATCGATGTGGTTTTAGGTATCGGAGAAAATCGACAAAAAAAACAGATAATGGCTTACAAACACGGAATTTTGAAGTGAAACTTTCATAAATATTAAGCACATTATCAATGAATGTATTGAACTAATAAAATTCAAAATGTACAAAGTATAAGATATGCATATGATGAAATGTACGTATATATAAAATGCGCGATGAAAATCCTGAAAATAAATACAATTGTACTTAACACAACAAAGACAACATTATTCAAACATAACCCAACCCATCCCATTAATATATAACCCAACATTATATTACAAGAATCAGACTTATTGATAAAGGAAATGAGAGATAGAAGATTAGGTGAAAAATAAAATCGAACACACAAGAAACCGATCAACTAGAGAGAGGAGAGGAAGAGTCAAAGATAGCCGAAATGACTTAGAAGAGAAGAAAGGAGAAGCTACTAAGTATTAGAGCTTGGTTTTTGACATTGATTCGGTGGCTGGGACCTATGATTACTTTCAAAACTAAAGACAAATTTATGAGTTATTTGTCAGGTATTGGGAAATATCGGTAAATATCGAGGATATCGAAGGTTATCGGAACATATCTCCGATAAGGGGGAAGAAGGATATATCGGCCGATATTTTCATCCTTGATATTGGCAAAAGAACCCAAATCCCAATTTGCCCAAAAAAACACTACATATTATATGAACCCAAATCCAAATTTCCCAAAAGAAGAAAACTTACTTTCCTTAAAACAAAACATACCTATCATCAGATTGAATCTTCCATTCCATATTTTCACGAAATCAAAGGTGTAAAATAAAGAGTTGGGCTTACTTGAAAGCAGGTGACGGTCTGGAAGCAACGGAGTTCTTGGCTAAAATCGGCCAAACCAATGGTGTGGTGAAGAATTCTGTTGGTGCCATAATCATTTGTGTTAGGCCCTCCAACAATACATATGACAGGAAGGTTCTCACTGTAAGCTCCAGCAATGGCATTGAGAACACTAAGCCCACCCACTGTGAAAGTGACAACACAAGCCCCAACCCCACGAGCCCTGGCATAGCCATCAGCAGCATACCCAGCATTGAGCTCGTTGCAGCAGCCAATGTTCGTGAGCCCTGGCTCAGCAATGAGATGGTCAAGAAGGGTAAGGTTAAAATCACCGGGCACAGAGAACACATCTTGAACACCAATCTCCACGAGGCGGCGGGCCAGGTGGCGGCCCAGCGTGGCGTCAGAGGAGGCAATGGTGGAAGGAGGGTGAGAGCCATGGACTGAAGCTGTGCCGTTTTGGGGAGGACAGCCAGCATTGTTGTTGGTGGGTTTGCATGAGTCCAGTGAGCCAATGCTGGTGGCCATGGTTATAAAACAGAGAAGAGAGAGCTTTGTAAGTGAAATGGAGAGAAAACAAGATTGGGGTTTTGTTTTTCTAGTGGATCTAGACAACAAAATCAGAGAAAAGATTGGATCTTTGAGAGAATGTTGGGAGGAGGAGAGAGAGTTGGAGGGATTTATATAGGGATGGTTGTAGACGTGAAATAAGGTGGTGTGGTTTCTTGGGGAAGAGGACAAGACTCTTTCGCGTTATGTATGGTAATTGAGTGAGTGCTAAGTATAGGAGAAGGACAGCTACAAAAGTGTCCTGTTACAATAATTTTTTTGAATTTCTGTCCTATAATTTTTTGGTATTAACATTCGTTTTTAGTATTGTGAAAATAAATAATTGTTTTACATATATATATGGTAATATTCTCTTGTTGGCTATCGGACATAAATACATAATGAGACTGTCAATCTAAATTGTACATCTAAATAAGAATCATATTATGTCGCTCATTGCCGAATCGAGTTATTTCTCGGGCCTCAAATGTTCTTGTATAATATATTAGAGAATAAATGGTGAAATTTGATTATGATATGTGTGTAGAATCTTCACGAATATCACAATGAATTGTAATTACGAGTACATATTTAGGTAATACCATGGTACCCAATTCATTTCCTTATATTTTTTCTTGACGAATACCCAAGTCATTTCCTAAAGAAAATGGAATTTTCTTCCTTAAATCTTTGCAATATCTGAAAACATATTTCCATTAAAATAAAATAAAATAAATTAAGATTAGTTAGAATTCGTGACAAAACATTTCAATCAAAGCTAATGTAATGTGCTTAAATTCCTATATGGACTGTCAAAATCACACAAATATTGTTTCCATGGTGGTCTAAGTGCGACCTAAGGCTTCCCTTCTACGGCACTATAGGGGTTCCCTCCTTTTGAGTTTTTAGGGAAAGAGAGAGGGAGTTAGACCAATTGGTTAAGCCAGTGTGTCAGTCCTCTTGCAATAACGCTTTGTCGAGGAGAGAGAGTGAGAGGAGAAAAGGTGGTGCCAGTTGATCAGTTCCATGCAGGGAAAGTACAGAAAAGATTTTGCCATAGATAGAGACCACTGATGTCTAAACCATAAGCTGTGCCACCCGTTTTGTACATTTGACACTTCTTATTCTTTTCAACAGAAATGAGCTTTTTGCTGCTCTTAAAAGGCTCATATTGTGTCTTCATTCAAACGAGAAGTAAATAACATAGATTTATGCGGCTACAACTGCATTATATCATAAACAACGTAGATTTTCTTTTCTCCAGAGTGGAAAACATTTTGGCATGGCTTCTCTGTAACTGAGTGTTAAAAGAATCAAGACTTCAAGATGGAGAATCAGAATATACAAAACTTTGTTAGTGTTAGTTCAACTATTTTGTTTATATTAGCTCTAAGATACAGCCATTAACAATGGCTTACTTTCTCTGATACATAGTGTAACATATAAACCTGAAATATCTGCAAGTTTCGAACAAAGCAGGAAATGTACTTGATCTTCTGATGGATAGTACCATAGTATGCCTTCATCCTAGAAGTTAGACATAGTAAATCATACCGACTTCAAACAAAGAGGTATGAGGCACGTTCAAAACATCAGGCTCCCTACAGTTCTTTCTCAGAAAAGCATAAACAACATCTATAGCAACTTTCTTGAAAAAGGATGATGATTTCTTTGCCTTTGCATGTGAATGTCCAAGAATATAAGTGACACCAGATTCTTTGGCTTCTAATATCCGCAGGGACTCATCCTTAGAAAGAGAAGTTTCCATGTTTTCTTCATCATTTGAGTCAACAAAAGTGTGATCTGGAGCATAACGGGCTTCCGCATCTGCACTAGAGCATCCAGTTATTGGTTCCAAAGGACATTCTTCTTCTGTTTCTACAAACTGCAGTATGCTAGATACCAATATATTCTCAAAATTACAGGTTTCCTGTTGAAGATCCTTGTAACCATACCTCACAATGCACCGGAACATGCCACACTCCTTCGGGCCTACCCTACTAATGAGAAACCTTTCCTTTCCGCTAACGTGGGGTACTTGAACAGATTTGACACAGACGAATATTAGCACCTTATGGAATGCAGGTAGATTTGTTACAAAGTGTCCGAAAACTGGTGGTATCCCGGTCACCAAATTAGCGTAAACAAGTCCAATTCCAGGGACCCGAACCATGCCAAGGCTAGGCCCTAAGCACACTATTCTATTAATTGAGACCTTGTTTTCAACATCAAATTGGTGTTTCATCATTGTTCCATAGTTCCATATGTACATCACACCCATAAAGATCAGAGACAGCACAACCGGGATCCATCCACCTTCTGGGATCTTGCTGATGGATGCTGAAATGTAAATCAGCTCAATTGATCCAAAGAGCATTAAAAATGCTACTGCATTTAGTATCCTTTTCTTCCAGACAATTATCATTACCAGAGCCATCAAGCAAGTTGTCACAAACATTACAGCAGTGACAGCCAGCCCTACCAAATCCAACAACATGATCAGAGTTCATTCATGAAAATAGTAAGTATACCATAGAAATAGTGCTCAGATTTATACCATATGCATGACCCATCATGTTTGTGTCCCTCAATCCAATTGTCACAGCTAAACAAAGGCACATTAACATCCAATTGACCTCTGGAATGTATATTTGCCCATATATTTTACTTGAGGTATGAACTATCTTCACGCGGGGAAAGCATTTCAGTGCACAGCACTGGCTTATAATGGAGAAGGTAGCTGAAATTACTGCCTGGCTTCCGACCACGGATGCAAAAGTGGCAATTATGAACACTGGCCAAAACACAGCTTCTGCAGCGGCCATATAACAATTGCATAAATACGAAAGATGACAACAAATAATATAAACTATTTGGGTACTATGATAAATTGATAACTTCTTACCTGGTATGGCTTTATAGAAACTTCTCTGAATGTCTTCATGGTGCTTGGAAAGGAATGCAGCCTCACCCATGTATGAAATAACCAGAGAGGGATATACTAGTAATGTGAAGGCCATCTGGGATTCGATGCCAAGTGTTTCAACATTAATATTCAAATAAGATAGAACTAATTTATAGATGCCATTTCAATCATTCAAGGCATCAGAATCTGTAAGTACAACTGACTGAAAAGTTACCTTTATTGAAAGCGGAGAGAAGTGGCCCAAATTAGCAAACATCGCCTCTACACCTGAGATAATATATTCCGGAGGAAACTAGTTTCCAGTAGCTCTGTTTAGCAGCAAGTAAACCACAATTACTGCATCAGGAGTTCAAAGAGATACCTGTGATTGAAAGAACAACTCCTGCGAACGAAACCCATCCTTCAACGCCTGTGCTTCTAAGGAACTTCAACATGTAAACTGGAGAAAGTGCGTGAAATATACGTCGATTCCAATGAAATATGTTGTATATTCCAATGCCACTAATACACAGAAGCCATGCTGTAACAATTGGAGCAAACATGAAAGCAACTCTGTGTGTTCCATGATGCTGAAGGGAGAAAAGCCCCACTAAGAGGACACATGAAATTATGACAACATAATCTGAGAGGCAGAAAGAAAGAAACCAAACAGAAGTTTAGTGAATAGTGAAGCATGAATGTTGAAAAGGTTACATATTGGTATACTTACTGTCATGGAGTTCTGTGAACTTAAGCTTAATCCCTGAGACTGCTGAAAGAACTGAAAGGAGAAATACAGGAGAATCTCTATTATGTTATGGTCTCTTATTAACAGACAATTTGAGCACTAAAAGACTAATTAAATTCGATATGATAGCGAAAGACCATGAGATACTTGTTGGGGTTTGGAAATAAATCATCATATAAATATATGTTATACATAGTCATTTTCATCTTTCAAACACGGTCTGCCTAACAAATCTCCAAACTGTATATGCCACACTAGTGCAGCATAGTACTTATTTAGCTCTGTCACAATAGGCTACATACATGTTTTAAATACAGGTAGCATTTAAAAATCAGATTCAACCAAATTCTTTTCATGGACACATATGTATAATGTGTATTTCTATGTGCCTAACATGTCAAAAAATTATCAGAATTTATACCTGTAATCTGAAGGATATGATGCTTATTCACAACCACATCAATATCTTGAGAAGTTAAGATGAGCTAGCCTAGAATTTGAAAATTTCAGGTAATGGAACTTGTACGGGTCAGAATATAAACATCACCACAGAGGATTTGATTACACTAGCCACCTGATATTGCAGGAGTGAGTACACCATCACCAATTGCCATACAGGTTCCAAATAGAACAAAAACCAGTAGCCCTTTGCGAAATCTTGGGTGCTTGTTGAAGAATAATTTCAGAGCTGAACTCTGCCATGTATCTGTGGTTCCTTCTGTAACATACTCAGACAATTTCTCATCTGTGATTTCTTGATTAGGTAGAATGCTTAATCTTGCATGACGGCAGAGAAGGGAGTACAAGGCAAAGGTACCACCTGCACCATATGCACAACATTGGTATTGAGAAACTGTCTTTCTATCATATCCAAATCTATAGTCAATACCTTAAAAGCCTATTGCAAAGGTCTATTGCAAAACTAGATGAGATAATGATCAAACAAAAAATTACAAGAAGCTTGAGCTGAACATTTTCTTCTTTTTTTCAGTGTTGAACCGGTGTTGTATATATGCAATGCTGAAACCAACCATTAGACAGTGATGGGAAGCTTGAGTGATTAGATGAATCCGGTTATTTAGCAATCGGTTAGTACTAAAATGAAAACAACAAAACTGTACCTTCACCATTGTCATCAGCCAACATCACAATGAAAACATATTTGCAGAGAGCAATGAGAGTAAACGTCCAGAAAATAAAGGAAAGCACGCCAAAAATCTCTTCATCATCCTCATGAAGGCTCAACTTTCCAGAGAAGGTCGTCTTGTAAACATAGAGAGGGGATGTACTAAGGTCACCATAAACCACTCCCAGACTTTGATAAGCCAATGTGAGCACAGTTGTATAGGATACCTTCTGCATATTCTGATTCAAGACAACAAACTTTAAACATATATGGACAAGTTCAATAAATCAATGGTTTAGAAAGATCCAAGCAGGTTTGTCAGTACTCAAAGCTAATAAAAGTTCATGACCCCATAGTTCAGCACCTACATTGAAGAATAAATTTACTTTATTGAGATTTTATGCTCTGTTCTCAATCTTTATTTATCTGGCTGCTTAAATTCTAAGGTAAATCCTATCATTCAATCTACTTTTCCTAGAGAAAAAAAGGAGACGCCTTTCGAAGCAAAGAAAATATAACGTCTGTTGACAAAACTATAAAAGATGCACACTTTGTGCAAATTCTTGAAATGAAAAATAGATGCCTCTAAATCCCTGTGTTAGTGAAGCAAAACCAACCAACATGTACTTCTTCGGTAATAATTACTGCTTTAGTTATCTTTTCAGAGCCCATTTTTGTTAAAATGGATCCAATTTACCCAGAAACCAGAAATAACAATTTTAAAAACAGGAACCCCTGCTATCTCTCTCTCTCTCTCTCTCTCTCTCTCTCTCTCACACACACAAATGTCCTTGTTCCATAGGAGCTGCATGCTCCAGATGCACATTTCATTTCATATATGCATAAAATCGCTCAAAACCTCACTAAATTTAAAGAGAAGCATTTCACTAAAACCTTTTTGTCCAAGAAACCTTGCAAAATGCATGACATTCATAAGGCTATTAAGCACACAAGAAAATGCAAAAATATTAATAATAACATAGCAATGACATCATAAAACCAAGCAACTAATAATATTGAGAAAAATGTTAACACTGTCATGAAATAATGCAAAGTGCTTAATTATGAGGTGGGAAAGAAGAATACCCGTGGAGATATTCCCTGCTCCATTAATTCTTCAGGCGGATTCATGGTAGAGAGAGAGAGAGAGAGAGATGGACAGAGTAAAACAAGACTGAAGGTGAAGAAAGGCTGAGAAAGAGTTTATATAAGGGGAGAGAGAGAGAGAGAGAGAGAGAGAGAGAGAGAGAGAGAATGTAGGAAGTGAGAAGGCAAGTGTTGTGTTGTGCTTCGAAACTCAGGTTGCAAAAGGCATTCAATGCTCTTTTTACCTCTCTTTCAGATTTTTGTAATTTTCAATCCTCCAACTTTGTATTGTACTTATCCCCTTCCCCTCTATTTTAATCTTAACATCTTTATACCATTACATAAATATAAACCCAGAACCCAAAACAAAGAAAAACACAATAAAATAAGCTAATCAGGATTACATATTTAAATCTCAGTTTTATTAACAATTATGTGAAAGTAGGTTGATTGTAGTCAAAAGGCATAAACACTTGATTTGACTGACAAATGGGCAGATGGGCATCACTTTCAGAGTGTCATTGTGTGTAGAGATTAAGATTAGGTGGAAAGTCGATTTTCCTAATTTAAATTTTGTTAGTCCATGAAAAGGATGTGAGTTCAGGCAAATTTAAAAGGATTTTCCTTATTTGAATTTTGTTAGTCGCAGTGTCACCCTCCTGTATCTAAGTTTGACTGATCAAATTAAGCTGGATGCTAGCAGAATTAGGTTATGAAATTGGGCATTTTACCACTCCTCAATGATACCTACTGCCTTCTAACATATTAAAATCTCATGCAAAAAGTATTCAGAGTTTTCATCTTTGTTCAACCTATTAGAATGAGAGCAATAGGCACCCCCTCATTTGTGGCGTATTTTTGGGCCTAACATGTGAGCAATTCTTATTAAGTAACTTAGTTTTGACACCATATTAGAACGCGAGCAACAATCCAAACAAAAACCATTTGACGGTGGGTGGAAAAGCCCAAAGCTTTTTTAATCACTGTTGCAAAACTTTCATCCTCTGAGTCTGAGGTGGGGTGGATACTCTCAACACAATCAAGCCACAAGTAAACACCCGTGGATGCACCATGAGCTAGTACATGGTTTCATAATTGGTATTTGATGCAACGGGCCAATTGGGAAGTTATATTCATTATTGATGTACATTATCTCCCAATAGCATAAGATGCCAAGACAAGATGTTACTTATCAAAATAGACTGAAAGAGATTTGATGCGAACCATCTCTCTCTCTCTCTCTCTCTCTCTCTCTCTCTCTCCCCCTCCAACATCACAAGTAAAATCCAATATTAGGAAGATGATCAGCTCTTCAAGCACAGCCAAAGGTTACATTAGTGGACAAAATGAATTAACATAATTATCCTAGAGCAGCAAATCATAAAGTTGAACTATAACTAAGATATGTCCACCATAACAACCAAATCCTACGACTTGGATCATATTCTTCCCATAATATAAAGGCCAAAACAAAATGGGTTCCAGCCGTACAACATCTCATTGCATTATGGGCAGAAATGGTTGTTTATGGTTTTGGACTAAATATGAATGAATGAATGACTAAGAAGAAGTAAGATTATCTATCTAGTCATAGTCTGCATGCCTGTCTTGTTTCTTTCTCATAGCATTATTGGATTCCGACCAAACCATACGTCCTCTTAATGATTTTCCAGTACATACATTGCATGGGATCGAAGAGGGAAAATATTAGAACTCTAAAAACAAGAGAAAAAACAGAGAGAGAGCTACAAGCATATGTTAGGTATGCTCTCTACGTCAAGTATTTATAGCTCTCTTAATTCTGTCTGTCCCTCACCCCTCACCCCTCCCCCCTCCCCCCTCCCCAACCCAATTTGATTGATTCAATTATGCACGTACAGCCCTTTGGAGATTGGTTGGTCACTTGACTTGGTTTGAAAGGAGACCCACGTACGAGAGAAAAAGTTGATCTAGCATCTTACAAGAAAGTGAGCCATTTGCTCCCCCACATTTGTGCTTCAATGGATTCTAGGGGCACCCATCTTTCACTATCAGCCCCACAACCTTTCCCTTTCCCACGTGCAACAATCTTGATCATCCGGTTTCGTTTCCCATTTTCCATTTCGGTTTGCAAAGGGTTGGACCACCCTACCACTCTTGTTAAGGAGATAAACTTTTATTTCGATTTCAATTTCGATTTCTCAGTTTGCAAGGGTTAGACAACATTTCATCCTACCAGAGAAATCACATGCACCCGTTCTCACCCCTAGAGAAGAGAGGAGTGAGAAGGGATATGCACCCACTGCGGCCAAAACTGCTTTTAAATAAGCACTTCTAGCATCATTTGGAGAAGCGCTCAGCCATTAAAAGACCTGGGTTTTTTATTTAAAAAAAAATAGAATGCCAACATGCATATAATAAAGGCACTTTCAGCAAAAGCTCACTTCCAAACAGGCCCCTAGTTATGGAAGTTTACTTGAGGAAAGGAAGGGGCAACCTAATGGGCCTGATGATCGGTTGTGATTAGTTAACAGAGGCTAGATTGAACATGGCACATTTCGATTTCAGGTAAACAATATCCTTCACAACCATGTTGGCTTCCAAAACAGAACATATGTGACCCAAAATAGCATGGGAAATTCGAGACCCTAAAACAAATCAAGAAATTATATCCAAACAAAAGGTCCTCTGTTTTTATAACAAGTAATTTTCACTGACCTGTAATTTACTCCCAAGTAATCAAATAGGATGGGAAACTCTGGTGACAACAAACCAAACTCATAACAAAACACAATCCTCAACCTTCAAACATGACCCAAAAGTCTGACCAAATTTTGATGACCAACACGAACACCAATTGGACGCAAGAACAGACCCACAGCAAAAACCCCCAACTTTCACTCTTTATGTGTCTTTCTTCTCCTCCTCAGCTGCAGCTGGTACCTTCCCCTCTGCTTTCTCCTCTACTTTCTCCTCAGCAGGTGCATCTTCTTTGACGGTACCACTCGTAGCTGCAGCAGGTGCCTCTACCTCAGCTTTCTCCTTGGTCTTTCTCTCTTCAACACTCAAATTCTCGAGAAGCCCAGCAGCCTTTGTAGCATCTTCATTTTCTTCTTCTGTACTTAAGGATTCAGCAACTTCTTGAAACTTTTCCATGAACAATCTGTTATCTGATACAGCAAACAAACAACCAAACTTTAATAACCTACATAGAACATCAACCAAATGTTGAATGTGGCTCTTTGTGATGATGCGTTGACCTAGTAGCACCATGCCATAAACCAAACCATATCTGTCAACTATATTCTTCATACCCTGACTAAGAATTGTAAAGTAAGCAATGTACTTCAAAGTTCGTTTACACATTTAGCAGAGGATGAAACTGAATCGATAATGCTGTGTACAAAAGCACCAACGAAAATGCAGCATGGTTAAAAGACAAATTTAAATCAGAAAATTCAGAAGGTAGGCATCCCTCAAACTCTCCATCCCAGCTACCAGAATTTTTTTTTGTTATAACACGATAAAATCTAGTGAACAGAAAATAATGATACAGCAAAATGACACATTCAAATCGATACAAATGCTCAACAAAGGAATTCATTTCCTTATTACTCTAGTTTTATTATATTCTTAAGAAAATAATAAAACCTCATGTGTTATACTTGAAATCAACACTCCATATGAAACAGACCTGCTAATTTATGATTTTCACTATATTTTGACAGTAACAATCTTGAAAGGTAGCAGCGACATGCAAAGAGAAACTAAGACCTTGAGGTATCAACAAGTAATAACTTGTAGAAACTCTCAATTCAATTTGCAGAATGTATTATTTCATCCAACAATTTCAACAAAACCTAACTCACCATGACCAAGTACAATTAGGAGAGACGTATTAACTCAAACTAACCTATTATAAAAGACTTAATTTGGTCCAACACTGACTTCAGAAGCTATAAATGTCATCCCTCTTCAAAAAGTAGGGCAACATAAGTACAAGGAAGACAAAAGGTATAAATTCTTAGACAGGTTCAAGATGCAAGTATGGAATGGCAAGGAATTACACACTAGAGCCTAATAAATCCACAAAACATAAATAGAATCTATAAGTTTTGACCTTAATTGATATGTAATTTTTTTTTTAAGAAAAAAAAAAGTAGAACAGAATTGGACAGATTTACACAATATACGAAGAAACATAAGGATAAAAAGGAACTTTAAATATATGATTAACCCATGCAAATTCAGTAAAAGACTCTTGCCTCGCATATGACAAGGAAAAAAAAAACCAACATTCATGCAAAAGGGTTAAACCTCACACATTCGAAAGAAAATGCGTTCAAAATTATAACACACACTAGAACCTAAACATCAATAACAACAACATTCTTTCAAATTAATATAATAATACAAATATGGGGTTATGATAGGTTGTGTTGAGTAAAAGTTTAAATTTTATCTTCATGTAATGCAGTAAATGATGTTGAGTACAATGGGCATCAATAATGCAGTTCCCTGCAGTCAACAACTGCATAATGCAAAAATCAGGTAGCTTATTCCAAAATATTCAAACTCAACCATAAATCCAGACGGAACATGGATCACATGATCCTTAAATCTAAGATGACTCTACTTATCAAACGGAGCCCAATTTTACAAACAAATGCCATAAAAATCAACAAAGACAAAGTGTATGCTCCAACCAAACAAAACAAAGTGTATGCATATAAATCAACAATCTGAGACATTTCAGAAGTTCTAGTGCTTCAACAAGAAAATTTTGATTCATGTTGCAAAAAAATTCATGGAAACTGGATAATCAGCTTAAGATAGTTGGTATGGGCTCTATTAGTAAGTCCAGGATTGTATGCAATTTACAATCTAGAAAAGAGGTTGAGATGAAAAAGAGGTCCATTAGTTTTCTTGCTGATGAAATGCAATTAGATTTAATTCTTCAAGTACGATTGAAAATTTATTAACTCTTCATGGACAAACGTAATTAGAAGGATTTAAAAATGTATTAAATTAGGGTTTTTATAAGTACAAATAGCATGAGGTCGTCTCGTACAGTAATGTCCTAGTTTGTCCATGAAATCATAGCAACAGACTTGCATATTTACATAAAACAGATGTAATAGAAAGTACCAAGTGTACACTGTATATGACAGCATCTAACGGCAAGTTCAATGCAAGAATTGATTACGAAAAGATCAAGTGGATCAAATAAATTAAACTCACTCTCAATTGAAGCGAATCTAATGCAGAAAAGCTCCTCCTTCAATTCCCCATCAGCAAAATCAGTTGCGTGCCAAACAGATGACTTCTCATTACCGGCATGCTCCTGAACTGTCATCTTCGGTAGAACTACAAGGAACAATAGCACAAAGCACACAAAAAAAATTCAAAATTCAAAACACTAAACCCAAACAATCATAACAATAAATAAATAATGTACGTTTATTTAGTATTTCGGACTATGATAGAGACTAACCGAGGTGATTGGCGCAGATCTTTAGGGTTTTGGACTGTCGCATAACAAGGCGGACCTTGCCAGTCTTTTTGTGCTTAAGAAGCTTGACAGTACCAGCACCTCGCTCTTTCCATTGGTTACCGTCTTTATCGAATCGGTATAGCTTCGCTTTCCTAAGAACAAACCAGAAAACACACAAACAGAGAGAGTGAGTTCGCAAATCAAACAAAACCCTAGGTTTTTGCAGATCACAGAAAAACCCTAGCATTCGATGAAAAAAGAATCGGAGCAAGAGACGCGTACAGATCGAGGATGGCGTCTTCGTCTTCCTCACCGGTGGTGACGGCGACCTCCTCGAGCCTGACGATCGGAGCGACCTGAGCTCCAGTGTCCTCGTCGTCGCCGGCGAGTGGGGCCTCCTCGTCTTCTCTGTGCTCGGCATCGGCGCTCGACATCTTTAGAGAGAGAGCTGAAGTGGAGTAGATAGTAGAGAGAGAGAGAGAGGGATATGAGAAATGAAAGAGAAAATTAGGGGACGAAGGCTCTGGTCTACAAAAGTATCAAGGATTTCAGGGTTAGATGGTTTTTATAGTGGTTGTAGGAGTGAGTGATCTTAGCGTGAGCGTGAGCGTGAGGTTTACGCTCAAAGACGTACGCGATTCAAAATGAGAGAACGCCAAGGCCCAAAGCCCTAAACTCGAGTCTCTTCTTCTTTCTTTTTTAATTGTTTTTTTTTTCTTATAAAATTTGCCCCATTTAGAATTACGGCTGAGTTTGGTATTGCTGTGTTTTTAAAAAAAACTGCTTATGCTGTACTGTGAGAATAAACAGCCGTGAAGTGAAGCAACTAATCGAGAATAAACAGCTGTTAAATGGTTTTAGCAGATTAAAGGTTGATTTTTGCAGTTATATCATTGTGTATTAATCGGGAATAAGTCTTATAGAAAAGAAAAAGAGTTGGGAAAGAATTAGATTAATGAAGGGAAAAAAAAAAAAAAAAAGAAATTAATTATTGATTTATTGTATACATACAGGAGAGTGTATAGATTTTTTTTTTTTTTTTTTTTTTTTTTTTTTTTTTTTTTTTGTGTATGACTGATGCTAGAACTCTCAAATTCTTAGAAAAAGAAGATTGCAGAAGTCATGTTGGTGTATGTGGAAAATACATTTTTGTTGTTGTGGAAGCTGGTAGCTCCAATGATTAAGAATTCCTACCCTACACCCCAAGGGTCCAAAAACAAAAAGGAACATTTTCGTTCCTATAGCTTAATTTATATTTTAGTTTGGTCTCTATATTAATGGTAATTTAATGTTCTGAAATTGTTTCAATTTGGTACCTATGCCATGCATCTTAAATGTTGGTTGGTCATGTAGATTTCTGCTTGAAGTCGTTTGAATTAACAATGTGATAATAAGATATGTCAATCTATTAGAGAAGAAAAAATTGATAAAATGTGGGTTAAGCATGTTGGTAAGAGTAGTGTGATCACGCCCTTTTAATTACAATAATTTAAACTATCGCTTGTCATATAACAAAAATTAATCGACAATAAAACCCTTTTTGTTTTTTGAAGGTACATAAAAGCTTTCAACATAGCTCAACTGTTTTTTTAGTAAAATATATTAGACAAAGATGAGCCAATGCTCACTTATTTTTCTTAGTTTTACTTCAATTTCTTAGTTTCCTTTTGAATTGGGGTTGAATTCTTGCAGCTAACAAGGAGGTGAAAAAAAAAAAGAAAGAGAATCAACTGCCTTTTGAATTGCACTAAGGAAAAGAATCTTCAATATTAAAAGGACAAAAATTTCTTGAGCATCAAGGACAACATGTTAGTACAAAAACTTCACCGCTGAATGTTTCTTGACACTAACAAGACAAAGTTACGTCCAAAAAAGAACGAGAACAAATTCAAAAAATTACCTATACATGTAGCAGCAGCATGGCTACAACTACAGCCATGACCAAGTGCAAGCTCGGTTGCCATCCTAGGTCTCACAAAGATTACTAAACCAAAACCTACTCAGCTCAGACTTGGCAACCAAGCAAAAACAATTGATACCGTGAATTTAAAAAATTTCTAAAACAGATGACCATAAACCTCCATACGAAGTGAACTTTGAAATCAAATCACATTCAGCGTAACAGGAGAGTTCATGACATTCTAGCTTTTGCCCTGTAGAAGCTGTTAGAACACTCATAAAACCTCAAATGCCTCAAAGATCAGTAGGACGGGCCCATTTGCGGCATTCCAAAGGGTGGCATTGGAGGCATTCCCATACCACCCATTGGTGGCATTGGTGGAGCATAGCCTCCACCCATTCCTGGTGGTGCAGGCAAGGCAGGCAGCAATTGAGCATACATATTCTGCAGATCATGCAAAAATATAAGTTATTTGTCTTTAATTTTCTTATGTTTTAGTCTACAAATGAATAGGTGTTAATAATAACAAAATCAAAAGTCTAATATTCCTTAAAAATTCAAGTTTAATGTGAGCTTTAAATTAAGACAACACTCTTGTGCTTATGGTGGGTAGGTTCAATCCACGAGCACAAAGGAGAGAAACTATCTAAACACTTATTTTATCTTGTTTTATTTGTGTGTGGATGTGTTTGTTTCCCGACCATCAAAGGCAAACTGGAAAGTAACTGATAATATAAAAACATTGTTGGACAAATGTATAAGAAGGCTCTCCATGGCACAAAATAAAGCAAATAGCAATACCTGCTGAGCGACCAATTCCTTCTCCTCTTTCTCTTTGGCTTTCACCTCGTTTTGAGCTTCAATTTTGTCCTTAACAAGTTCATCCACCTTGCCTGTGTACTCTCGAATAAACTGAGAGAGAGAGAGAGAGAGAGAGAGAGAGAAGGCCGAGTAAGTGAGGAGCAATTAAAAGGTAACCAATGGATAAAGGGCAAAAGAAATAAGAACATTACCTGCAGGAGATATGGTAGGGCAAAATCAATTATATTGTTCATCCATGCAAGCTCAAGAGCAACATCTGGCCGGATTAAATCATAACAAACAAAGAGGCATGACGCAAAGCACTCTTTCTTTCCCTGCATATACATTACAGAAGAAGATTACAAAACTGCATCTAGTATAATGCTTTACAAAGAAAAAGAGAGAGAAGCATGGAGTGAACCCCTCCTTAACCTCATGGGCTGGGATGTGGAAAAGAATAAATGAGTGTGTAGATTACTCCGTGATTTATTTGGTATGCACGAGCTTTGTTTAACTAATGCATATAAAAAACACAGACCTGCTCAATGAAATAGATAAGCAGTTCCTCTGAGAGTTCATGATCACCAGACTGCGAGCATGTCTCCATGCAATCTTTGTAGTGATTGTCTTTCTTTGACAATGCAATGGATTGCTTCCATCTTCCAGCTTTCTTATAAATGTATGCAGCAACACGTCTCATCTCAAGAAGCTCGTGTTTCTCAAGCTGCACATTTGCATCAACAAAAAGTAATAAATACAAGTTTCAATCAAAGACATTCAATGGATGAGAAGCTTCAATCTCACTCACCTTTTGAGCAAGACCTATCTGATCAAAGCTGTCGTGCAAATCTATTGATTCACGGAGTCTGTCATAGTCTTCCTCCTCTATGTATATTTCGTTCAGAGCTTCATTTACAGCAGTTACATTGTTGCTCTGAACTGCAACCATGTATGGCTTTACAAGACGGACGTGACCAGCCTGAAAACCAAAACGATTGAAAATGTAAAGAATACAGAACTATTTCCAAACCCTGCCAGAAGAAAAATGCGACAGCAGAGACCAATATTAATGACATTTTAATAGAGAACCAAACCTTTCTCATTATATCCACCACTCGAGTGTGGTCAACACGAAGTGCAATCACATTAAGAACATCATTGATAAGATCAGGATGTTCTTGTAAGTAGAAGTGCACAGCCCTGTAGTAGAGTTCAACACTCGCAACTTTGACTATCACATCCTTGAATTGCATGTGGTCCCATGCTTCCGGGGAGTGATTCATTATGGTGGTTGCAGCATTGTCGAACTCATCATATTGGATATATAAATACGTTAATTCTTTCCAGTGCTGCTGTTCATCACAAGCTCGTATTAGCTTGGGAATATTGAGACGGGTAGAAAACAGTTTAATGTGCTCCATAAGCTTCTCAGGACGGTATCTTGCATATAGAACTCCTAATTCTGTAAAAATGCCCATATGTGCACGTTCCAATCCTAGTCCACTCTCCATGAGACTAATGAGCTCATTAAAGCATCCCCTGTTCTGGTAATATTCACTGACCTCTTCCAAATCATCCACCTAAAATAAAACATGCAGGATTAAGGAATCATCAAAAGTATAATTTGGGCAACCAATTAATTGTGTCCTATAACACAGACTAGAGCACCAATCTGCAGCACTTACAAGCATCTAACAACAACTTATCAAAAGAATACCCACCTCCTGTTTTGCCAAACATCTTGGTAAACAAAAGCAGATATAATGGGGAAGTAACATAAACAGTACAGTATACAAGAATGCTACCTGGATGATGATGTTGAGTCCACAAATCTGAGCTAGTCGGTACTCCTCAGCATCAACGCATGCGAAGCAAACAAACTTCCACGTCTTTGAGCTGTTAGCTTTTCGAGCAGCATCAACAGCACCTTGAAACTGATTTAGCTTCACAAGAGTGCATGCCAGCTTAGCCCAGTTAGAAATGAATGCAAATATGATTTTGGCCGCTTCATATAGGGCTTCATCAAACAAGCGATCCCCAACATTTTGGAGATTGGCAACATTTGGCATAAGAATGAACTCTTCAATTTCACCAAGCCGATCAATCTTAGCATATGCATAAATAAGTTCACTGTCAACCTTGGGCTCCTTGGTCTTCTGCCTAACCATCAGAAGGTACCTTACCAAGTCATGATATACATTTGCATCCTCAGCAGCACGTATGACATCCAAAAACTGAGTGGCATCATCTGCACGGATGAAGGACTCAATTGCATCACTCACTAGTCCTTCTCGGAGTTGGGCCTTGGCCACCTGGCTCCAAACAGCATCTTCTTCAACTCGGAATGCAAACTCTACAGCTCGGTCAATGCTCTGAATGTTATCCAACAGAACATTCACAGCGTCAACATTCGCATTGAATTTCTTGAAGATTGCGAATGCTTCCTCATACAATTGAGCTTCTACGGCCATTAATCCAACTGCAGGTCCATCAAAGTTGTCTAATCTGTTAATATAATCCATGACTCTGGACGGATCAGCCTTGATGGCAGTCAGAATCAACAGATTCTGCAGATTGAAGTTCCCACTAAAAGCAGAATTTTGGAGCACTATCTTTTCTAGAAGCTCAATCAACTCATGTGGAAGGTCTGCAGTCATAAATGCTTTGACAGTTGCTGAAACTTGCTCAGGGCTCTTGCTTTCAGGCAAGGCAGTTGATACAACTTGATCGATT